TTGGTCGGCCACTCATCCATCCCCAGGCTGACCTTCAGGCACTCCAGCTGATCACTGACACAGAGGGCAACACGCCTGTCCTTCCTAAGGAGCCTGTATCACTCCATTCCAACACTACAGTCATAGGAGTCATCGCACAATGCCTCCATGATGTTAATAAGATGATGGCCCTGCAGGCATGCGTGTGTCTCTTAACTCGTCTTGTTCATTCCCCGTGCTACATGTGTTTGCAGAGAGGCATTTAAGTCCGGCTCCTGATGAAGCTGACTTACTGGCTGGAGTGGCTGGAATTCCTTTGTGCTGTTCTTCAGGAGCTCTCCTGCTGACCCGTGGTTCTTCCCCAGGCTCTGGGCACCTATTGCTGGCACTGGCATCAAACTGGTAGGAGCGGGATGGATTGAGGTTTCCCTCCCCCAGCAACTTTTGTTTAAAACAACAGCCTGAAGTGAGGTTTTCATTCAATTCTATTTGGTTTTGCTGCACTCGTATGCAGCTTCTCATCTTTAAAATCCTAATCAAAAGTGCTTTTAAAGTATCTCCTAGTACTTGATTAGCATACCTCTTCCCCGGAGAACTTTGCAGCCATAAAACAGTCAGTGATTTAATTCAGCTATGCACGTAGCTGTTTTCTGGAGGGACAGTCAAAATGTATCTTGTAGTAATTCAACTAAATTTACCGAATTACTAATATGCCTTTTGTTTCATTGTCACACAATGTATATGAAAGCATACCTGAATGTAAACTGTTACTGAGAAGTATTGATGTCCAGCAGACTACTAGATGATGTTTTGTGATGCCAGTAGTCATGAGCAGAAGAGGAAGCCAAAATACAGTTACTCCATCTTTTCCCCAATGATTGTGTGTTTAATAAGGTCTTTAGATTATGCTTTTTTAAGAGGTTGCTGCCTCGCTTCATGAAGGCTACCATTTATGAAAGCACACACTTCAGTAAAGAAATTGCTGTGAAATGCTTTCTGAATTGAGCAGGCAGAACGGTGTGCAGTGACAGTGCTTTGTAATGTACAGACCTTAGAGTAGACATCCAGCTTTGAAACCTGTTTTACTAGTAGAAGTGTATCCTGATTGTCAGAGGACTCTTTTGTGCCGTTACGCATCTATGGACAAATGATAAATAATGCATACTAGAAAAAACGTACACATACTGTGAATTTGAAGCAACCAACAGATCAAGGAAAAGATGAGAGATTTAAAGCAAGAACTTTTAACAGTAAAGTTATCCTGTTCCTTGCCATGCGGAGTTAGCTAGTAGAACTGACATAGATAGCAGTGGGGTAGGATGGTAGGATTAGGTTGAAGAGTGAAGCTTGCTGTGAGCTCTTAAAGCTACCAGTATTGCTCAGCAAGGCTTCAACTTTCTCTAATTTTCTGCTTTTCAAATGCAAAGCATCGGTGCAAGTAAACTTTTAGCTCCTGCACAGAGCACATAATACAATGCTTGATGTCGGAAATAGAGGTGTCAGAAAGAATAGGTTTAAATTTTAAATACCCCGAATCTGCTACCTTAGAGAGTAATCTGAGAATCCAAGTGCTCAGTTTGACATCAGACACTGCCGTTAATCTACTTTGCTGCCTTGAAAGGGTCATTTTGTGTCAGGACTCTTGTGTCTGCAATGCAGAGAATATTAATGAACTACAATATTAATGAAGTGTTCAAACTCAAAATAGTGCAACTCAGCACAGCTAAGGGAAGTCTAAACTTAAAGCTTTTTTAAGAAGTTGCTGTGTTTGAAAATCCACACTTCCTTTTACTGATGAGAATCCGGTCTGTACTAAGAATGGCTTTTTTTTTTTTTGCTTGTCCACATTTTTAGTATTAGAAAGCAGAACAGACATATGAAATCTACAGATGAAAAATTGCTTTCTTTATAATTGAAGTAGGAAGCTTCTGTAGCTGTTTGAAGTTGGTCTTTATGGAGGTCCTGGGTAGGGAAGAATCTACATGGACGTGTCATTTATGTATTGCCAGATACGATGAACTGTTTTGTAAGGATGCCAGATTTCCTCCCTAAAATGGATTTCTCATGGCCTGACCCCTCCAATGTTAACTTTTAAATTAACAGATTCTACTTTACATTTTAAAGAAGTTTAAAATACCTGTAGGTGCAGAAGACCGGACTCCTGATGCCGACCAATATGATCTCCAGAAGCTGTTTATTATACCTTTGCATACAGCTTTTATATTCTTCCAAGCCCTGTACACACGATCACGTATACTTTCTAATTCGTACATGCTACTGTCTATCCGACAAACATATAAGCCTCCAGCTCACTCATTGGTTATTTCGTTGTCATCATCTTATCCTGCTTGCAGTTGCTGCTTCTCTGCTCTAGCAACTAAGTTCCATATACTAGCTAAGCATTTCCCCTTTAATAGCATTCCGTCCTTATCAGGACTTGATGTCCTCATTCTGCTAGGAATGTATCCACATGTAGGAACTTAATATTGCTCAGCTGAGGAGCACTAACATGTATGTGATGGATGTCCTACATTTTCTGAAGTAGGCTTTTTTCTACTTATCATTAATAAACTTTCTTCCACAAATGACTTTTCAGTGCAGCAGGTTGCTGATGGGCATGTCTGAATTTTAGAGCAAAATACTACTTTAAAAAAAAAAACAACCTGTCTTAGAGGGATAAGAAAAGGAAGAAAAAATACTTGGATTTCTTCTGAATCCCTCTAGAGTTTTTGCCTTAAGATACTATAGCAAGACTTGTACTAACATAGAAGACAGGGATAATCTTGCACAGTTCCTGATCGCAGTTTAAGAACAGCATTTAAAATTTTATTCTTACACATGTCTCAAGCCTTTCTGAATCATGCCATCTGCTTCATGACAAATGTAAGCATATTCAGTCTTTATTTTTTAGCTGACAGCAACTTACATTAAAAGCAATCTCTTTTCCTTGCTTCGGTCACCATATCATCTGAATTCCAAGCATGCATTTAGATTTACGCAGTTTGGAATAAACAAGCACTAGCAGAAGGCTGCTGAGTAATATGTCAAGTATTAAGCTTTTTGGCTGAAAACTGTATAACAAGCATACGGACATGATCACTTCAGCTCAGACCCTCTTGGAGGTACTTCGGTCATCCTATTACAGCGTTGTCTCCAGAGTTTACAAGAAAGTAAAAGTCTGGGCTAGCTGCAACGCAGAAATGTTGAATCTCAACCTCTTAGCAAGATCTCTCAGCCTTTGTATCTCTTAGAGCACACACACTCAGATGTGTTTTAATGTTTCAAATGCATTGCAAGTGCAGAGTGTTCTAAAAAAGAGAGTGTACAATACCTAAAGAGCAGAGAAACATGGAAGACCTGAATCAATATACTTAGAAAACAGAGTTTAAGTGGAACTAATGCTATGTGGGAAGGAGAGCTTAGCAGACAGGGAAGTAGCAATTAATTAAATTTAATTAAAAAATCCTTTAACAAATAAATGTAAAGATGATTATGGGTGATCTTGCATAAAAGTGCAGTAAAGTAATCAAACGACTTCTGAGAACTCTGAGGGTGCATACATTAAGGATAGTAAAAGAAAAAGGTGAGGGCTTGATACCAAGGCAATACAGATGCAAATTATTATTTAGAGTTGAAGGTTTCTACCTGATAATTGTCTCCTACATTGAGCCATGCTAGTAAAAGGAATATTGGATTATGTAATTGAGCAGCAACAGAAGATTTCTCAAAGGGAATGAACTTTGAGTGCAACTACTGAAAATAAATTTGAAACCATTTTACCTTGACATGCTGATACTTCCCTTAAGAGTTACTGTGTCTGGCCTTCCTAACAGCTTGTGGGCTACCATGTTTTAGTGGTGTAACTAAAACAGCGCTCAGGACGGGGTGGGGGGAAGCACAACATGCAGCAGTGGGAATGACTTTTTGTATGGAGGAAATAAAGGAGATAACATGACTTTTCCATCTTCTTTTTATGATAGTGTGGTGGCTTGATATTTATAGACTAGCAGCAAATTGGAGATTAAAAAAAGCATATATTCTTGACACCAGGAGTGTCCTTAGTGGTATGGAGGCCTATAAGAGTCAGCTTTGTAGCTGTTGTCCTCAGTTGTGCTGTGTGGGCATGATGGGCAACAGCAGGGACTTGTGTATCTGGTTTATTTGATGGCCACAGTAAGATCCTTTACCATGTAAGAGTCCTGTGTAAATGCAGCAGTTTTGCCACATTTTAATTTAGAAGGAAATGTTGAAAATACAGAAATAGCAGCTATTTTAGGCATTTTCTAAATTCTTGACCCCTTCTCTAGTATACAAGGTCCTTTTGGGAGAATGATGTACAGAGCAAATAAAGGTCACATTCTCGTATTGTGTCCAGACAGTTTAATTTTGCTTCCCTATTCCAGCATTGTGGTCATACTCAACATAAGGGTAGTGTGTATATGTAAGGGCATCAGTGTATTAAAACTAAAACCTTTCTGCACAGATTGAATACAAGGTTGTAATTTTTTGTATAAGCACGTGCGCAAGCTTAGCGGTCATCTCATTCTTCCCCGTTACATATGTAAAACTTGTATGATAGTTTGAGTTCACTGGCACAAGAAGTTAGGCCCTGTGAGTATATTACTCGTTTATTATAATTGAGTTGTATGTTCAGTGACTGCATTTTGAATCTAGAACCTGGTAAGTTTACCTTTTTTTGAAAGGCAAGTATTTGATCATGTACCTTGTTTATAGCTCCAGAGCTGGCTTTGGAATGGGTAGGATCTAATTTGAGATAGAAACCTGTATTTTAAAATGTATTAATACGTATGGGAGCTTAAGGAAGCTATTTCATATTGTAAAATGAGAAAAGGAAAAATTAAACCTATTTATTAATAGCCTTTCAGATGGGTGCAAAGCTTTGAAGATTAGTGTATTCATCATAATGTCATATTGTACAGAGACTTTTAATTCCACAAGGTTAGAGTTGGGCCATAGAAATCAAGTAAATCTCTCTAATGTTTTTCTGTCATTCCCACCAGGTTTCCAGAATAAAAATAGGGTTGCAATCCTGGCAGAACTAGACAAGGAGAAGAGAAAGTTACTTATGCAAAACCAGTCTTCCACAAATCACCCTGGAGCCAGGTATTTTATATTCTCAGACCTGTTTGGACATCACTGATTGAATCAAAAAAAAATAGCAAGTGAGCTGTAAACTTACATAAACACTTATCAGAAGTGTTTTCTGACCATCCTCAATGACCAGTCAGAACGACCTTGCACTTTAGGAACATATTAGTATTTAAAATTGTTTACAGATCCTGAATGGTGGCTTACACAATTTCCCTTTGAGAAAGGAAGAAGCAGATCTGCTTACTGAACTGTATTAAAGTCAACCTTAAAGACGAATCAGGTAGCAGGCACTGAGAAGGCATTGAATTATTAAGCTAAAATGCCCTAAGGAATGGAAGTAGCGGACCATTAGGTTCAGGGTACTGTGTGTTTAGAGAAGAACAGTTATGGCAGGGAGTGAGTTGTCCTTGAAACGCCCTGTGTGCAAGACAAAGCCAGTTTTATGTGACTGCAGATCTTCTGATGCTGTGTTGTAAGGATGATTCTACACCATGAAGTTTAATAATTAATAATTTAATAATCTGAGTTTGGGAGCAGTCACTGGGATTTCTCCCATTTAAGACAAAAAGATGAGATTTTTGTTATAAATCAGTAACTCAACAATCACACACTGGTTTACATGGAGAAATTGAGATAGTTGAACTTTTGGGTTAGCATGAAGTGAGTGCAGTGCCATATTCTAGACACAGCATGTTACATGCTGTATCTGCAGAAGAGTCAAACACTGAATGGAGCCTGAGTGCTGACGGTGTCTTTTTTTTCAAGATCTAGGTCACCTTTAATTCCTTCACACTGTCAAAAAGCATGCAGAATATTTGAAATTGCCCAAGTTAGATCTCCGAGTGACTCTGTGTACAGTTATTATTCAAGCAAAGTTATTCATTAGAGAACAAAATAGAAATATCATACTATTGTGTACAACCCCTGACTCCTGGCTACAGTGTTTTCATGCTTCATTGCAAGCCTTGCAGAGTTTCAGGGAGTGCTTGTTTGCTTTCTTTTTTCTTTAAAGAAATAAACCAGTATATCCTAGTGAGCAGAATTAAAATTTACTAATTTTGAAGGTGGGGATAGAGGGGGAACATAAAAGCAGCAGTCACACTCTCTGCTTTGGCATGGTGGGCTGATGTGTGATTTTTGAGAATCTGACAGTTCTGTGACAGAGTTGTTGTGCCAAAGGTTCTGGACCACAGAGTTTTCAGAAATGAGACCACAGAAATTCTGCAAACTTGACAGAGAAAAGCTTGATGTACCTAAAGCAAATCGTGGCATGGCCAGCGTATGGGTGAATGAGTTATTGATTTCTGGCCTTGGCATATGGGAATTCTCTATCCAAGAACAGAAAAAAGTGTCAGCTTATGATGAAGCCTTAAGACTACCTACAGAAATCATACTGAAAAGTTAGAGGGTGCATAATTAAATGCAATAAAAATACCTTCAAAATAACTGAAAATATTATGTTTTAAATAAACCAAGTAGTATTTTTCTCCAGCAATGAAGCTTATCTTAATATTTGTCATAAAAATCTGTTCAGAGGATTTTTACCTAGCTTTCATTATGCATTTAGGCGTAGATTTGGCTAAAGGTCTTTTCACAAGCATAGCTGCATTTGAAAAACTGATTTACTAAATCAGCTGTTGACATTGAAGCTGCTGGGAAATGTCAGTTGATGAGTTTGCTTGGATCCCTTGTTGTCCTTCATACTTTTGTCTCTATGACTGAGGAGAGCTTGGCTTTCAGCACCAGCTTCCAGAGCCAATTTCGGAGTTAGTTATGAGTTGCCCTGTGATACAGCTCTAATGGCAGTCCTCACTGATTTCAATCTGGAGGATGGCTGATCATGTTACTTAGATAGACTTTGGGGAAAAAAAAAGTCTGCTTTTCATTTCCTCTTTTTTGGTTAACAAGGTGGACAAGCCTTAAGGTGTGAAAGCCAAGAAAATCTATTTAGAAGTTTTAATTTGAAACCTAATATATGCTGCACTGAGATAGATAAGCAAAATTAATTTTAGGTACTCTAAGCTACCATCAGAGGATCATTATTTCAGTTAACATCAATAGGAAGGTCCTTAACCACAAGCAGTGATCTGCTGTCCACCTGCCAAAGAACTGGTCTTATACTGAAGATGGCAGAGCTCTTGTTAGTGCTTCTGTTTATCACAGTTGTTTAGGACAGTCACTGGGTGACTGAGTAATGGGCAAAATGCAAAGCTGTTGTTTTAAAAATTGCTGACATTGTCTAATGTTGCACCCCAGTGGTTCTACTGACTTCAGTGGGACTCCACCCGTAAGCAAAGTCCACAACAGGCTTCAGAACTGTGAGTCTTCTGGGTTTTGTTTGGCTTCAGTTGTTTATGCTAGGTCAAATGATGCAGCTGTGGTCACTCCGTTTTTCCTTTCTCTTATGTTAGCAAATATTAATTCCAAACAATAGTTAACAATTGTCAAGCCATGAGTCAAATAAATCATGAGCTGTGCACGTCATGGAATCTATGGCTAGAATGGCAAGGACACATCTTTTTTCTGTGGTATGTGTCATACCATCTTGTTCTTTTTTTCAGCATTGCACTTGCAAGATCACCGCTGAACAAGGATTTCCGTGATCATGCTGAGCAACAGCACATTGCAGCACAGCAGAAGGCTGCACTGCAGGTAAGCTGATACAATCAGGCAGAGTTTAGCTTGGCTTTATTTTAGATGTGCATCCCTTCAGAGAGCAGTCCTTCATCTAGAGAGAATGAAAAGCCCCTTTTAGAGGTTAGGTTTCATACGTTTCTTTATTTGTCACAACTGAAGTTTCTTCTTGTGTTATGATGAAAGCGTAAATCTGTCGGCTCATTCTCCCTCGATATGGTTGTAAGAATGTAGCCTACAGTATCGTCATAGCTGTTTTGTGCATCTCAGTCAAGAGTCAATTTCATCATACTTCTGAATGTCTCATGAAGTCTAAGGAGGACTAGCCACAGGGCTTTCCTTAATTGAATCTCAGTAGATGCCAAGTAAATACCTTGCAGTTACGAGTGACAGGGATGAAAGATTAGGAAAACTTATTTGTACATTTACAGGCTTCTATTTGCTGCTATTTTGCTCATGTCAGGTGAGGCTGATTTTGGTGTTGAAATTGGAAATTGAGCAGGAGAGCCAGTACATGGCCACCTGCCTTTCTGGCACTCTAGACAGCATGATTTGGCAGAGGGCACAGGAATGGGAAAAAACACTAAGATGCAAACTAAAAACCCTGTTCACATATCCTGTGCCTTATTGTGTTTCTGTTACCCAGTAAAGGCCCCAGATTACTTCTCCTAAAATGAATGGGAGCAGAAGTGAGTTCTGGTTGGTGTCCTGTGTTGATCACAGAACATGACAGGCTGGAAGGATCCTCTGGAGGTGTCTAGTCCAGTGCCCTGCTCAAAGAACAACTGGGAGCAGTGCTATATGACATTGTGGTTCAATCAAGTTTTGAAGCTCTCCAGGGATGGACTTCTCACAGCCTTTCTTGGCTCATGAGTCTGGCTCTGTCTTCTCTATATCCTGTCACTGGGTATCTGAAAACATCTCCCCTCAGCTTTTTCTTCTTGCAAGAAGCTCAGTCCTCCCCTTGGACACTGAGAGCTCCAGCCCAGCCCCCAGCCATCTCTTTGGCTCCAGTTTGTATCTCAAACCAAAGGTGGTATCACAAATGCAGCCTCGTGGGTAGCTTCACCTTGGCCTGCTGGCTGTGGTGTTGCTGATGCAGCCCGCTGTGCTGGTAGCTTTTATCACTCCAAGGGCACACTGCTGGCTCAGGCTAAATTTGATATCCACTAGGGCTTTTCCCTAGTGATGGAAGGAAGGAATATGCGGGCCATCTAGCATACTGGAGTCCAGTCTTTGAACTGGGAAGGCCTACATACTATTTTACAAAGGTAGAACAGAGCCATACACAGCAGCTGCCCTCCTCAGGTGAACAAGCATACATACATGGCATGAGCAGAAGGCTGGTGTCCCACATTGTACAGGAGTGTGTCTGGTCACATTGTGTGTACATGTAGCCTCAGGCTGTGTGACACTACTGATGCACGCTCCTGGCAGTCATGTGTGGCCGATGTCACGTACCGAGACCTGTAAGTTGGTTATAGATGGGAGCAGAAGCATAGGGTCTAGGCAGAGGAGAGCATTAAGGAGTTCATTACCACTCTCCCCGCCTCCATGGGATTTGCTGAAAAAGGAGCAGCAGGGAATGGCCAAGTTAATTCCCTTGATGGGCCCTGTTCAGATGTGGCTGATCTAAAATGCTGCCTTTGAATTTGACTATCAGCATTGAGGAGCAGACTGGGAGAAATAAATAATTAACGCAGAAACTGTAAAGTCTTGAATTATATCAGTACTGCAGGGAGTTATGCTTTAACAAATGTTTTTCTCTTTCCAGCACGCACACGCACATTCCTCAGGATACTTCATAACTCAAGACTCTGCATTTGGAAATCTTATTCTTCCTGTCTTACCTCGACTTGAGGCAGAATGAGGAATGTTGTTTCTCAGAACTGCAAGGTCTGATTTTTGTCCATAGCAGGAACTGTCTGACCTTCTAATTTCTTTACTTACCTGAAAACCTATTTTTTTCTGGATTTTTGTGGTTGCCTTTCGGAAGTGTGAGCTCTAACAATGAAAAAGCACTGTTGTTGCACAGCGATTTTTATCCTGTATTTCTGTTCCTCTGTCAGGTCAAAGTCAGACATAAGACTTCCTTGGTGTGTGAAGTGCATAGCGCTTGCTCTTCCCTGTTTCTGTGCTTCCTTTAAATAAATGTCCAAACCAGGGTCATCAAGAGATGCACACTCTGTCAGCATTTGTGTTTCTTATTATTCTATACAGGTACTTTATTTTACTTTAATGAAAGACAAAAGTAACTTTTGTCCATCAGAACAGATACGCATTTATGAAATATATCAGTCTTTTATTCCCCCCCACCCCCCGTATTGCTAGTGTACTATTTGCTGTTGTAGTATCACCTGGTCTCAAGTTCTTAGACATAGTATGCCTGCCTCTTTATTTTGTTTTGTGAAATATGAAAATGAATTAAAGTGGGGAAAAAGCAATTGTTTCAAACAGTCTTTTAACAGACAAAATAAAAGAAGTCTTTTAACTTCTCTGGACATTTCAGATGAAAAGTGTTGTCTGCAAGGACAACTCAGTTTATAAGGTCATATTTTTCTAGTCATACTTCTTTCAATACTTAGTGTGTTTTAGTGTGTTTCCTTTTGCTTGCTTTTCTCCTTCTTGTTTTTATCTGTGATAATCAATTCCAGCTCCATGCTGAAAGGAAGTCTGTTGATCTTAAGGTAGATTATTTTGGAATTGTGATCATGCTACCAGGATAAAGTAACTTAGAATGAAAAATAGTACATAGATGTCTTACACCTCCACAGCTTTACTAACACTATACTAGTACATTGATTGCTTAACCTGTGGAGGCAAGTTTTAGAAAACAAAAAGAAGATAACTTAAATGAGAACCAGAAATCAGAAAGCATCTGTTAAATTGGTGCCCATTTGAAGCAGCTCTGTCCATTGCAGAAACTTAGCTGCCCCAGGAGGTTTCCAGGGTTGTATTCTACAGATTTCCTTAGTGCCATTTAGGGTATCCTGTTTCCATCTGCAGGGGACTGCCTGAACCCGGTAAGCATTACTGAACTGTAAGCACTGTTCACAATTCCATTCCTCATGAGTAAGAAAACGGAGTGAAGGCCAAGAGATCTGTGCAGGTCTGAGGAAAATGCCACTGCTTTCATATACCTCAGCTGAGTACAGACCCCTGCAGAGGCTGTAGTGTATGAAAGCATTTTCAAGAAGGAGAATCTTGTGGAGGAGGCCTGATAGAACGTAAAGATGTGCAATTGTAACATGAACTATCCATATCATGTGCTTTTTTGAGGAGTCCAATGTGGTGAGTTATGGGAACGATGGTAGTTTTTCTGGGCAGTGGAGAAAGGAGTACTGTCATTTCTGTTTTCAGTGGTTGGCTCTGTGTAGCTTTTTAATTACCAAGAGTAACTTCACCATGAAGCTGTCCTGACTATCATTATTCTGCAGTGTGAGCCCAGTATCTTAAGATTCTTTGAAGAAAAAGATCTGCAAATCTCTGTGTGTAGAAGAGGCAGCTATGAATCAGTCCAAGCTTGGAAATATACAAAGGCAAAGAATGTAAAGCAGATAATAGCAGGAAGTTTGATTTTAGATTTTAGTTTAATTTTAAAAGGTAGGCTGGGCATTTTAATATTAAAGGAATTTTTTTTTCTTGAGAGAAGTGGCCGAAGAATATCTGCTTTCTCTAGAAACTGACCCTCTGTGCTAACAGATTGAACTGTGGAATCTCTCGGCGTTGCTGCACAGGCTGCATATGATCCAGGCAATGAAACAGTAAAGAGCCTTCTCCTTTGGAAAGCTATAGTTGCTCCACTGAAGGAGTCAAACTTGCTGGCTGTGTTGTTTTCATCTCAGGTATCAAAAGATCTGCTTTTGGAAATCCAGAGACTGGGCTGAAAGACGGAGGTATTCAAAAAACAGGAAAAAGTGACACAGCTGTTGCAATATTTTTAAGTTATAATGCCTCAAATTATTCTGTGTAATCTTGAGGGACTTGATGATATATGTGGATATAATTAACTGTCAAAGATACAAATGTTTTATATGGAAGCTTCTATCTTAGAAACCACAGACTCTAGCAATTAGTGTCAGATGCATCAATTTGTCTTGCCGCTCTTACTTTTTCTTTTCCGCTATTAATCAGTATTAAAACCATTAATCTATCCCTGTACAGTAACTTCAGCAAAATCTTTTCTCCTGTTGGAATTGCATGTTCAAATTCAAATCATTATTAGTTAGAATATACCCGAGCCAGGAAGCGTCTGGGATGTCTTCTTTCTGGCAGTAACCATTAACCTGATCACATAAAAGCAGAAGGCTTGTAATCTAGTGCTGACCTGTGTACCTAAAAGTATCTTAACAGACATAATCACTCGAGTAATTTTATTTAATTTGCTAGAGTGGTAATCGTCCTTTCCACTCAATACAAGTGGTTGGTGTGGAGTGCATGGCAGAGCTGGATGGCGGGGTGAGAGCAGATCACAGTATCACGTAGGTGTTACACTAAACAGATCAGATAGATGAAAGGTGGGCTAACACACAGTGAGTCAGACTTTCTAAGTGACGTCAGAGTCATAATTTGTCAGGAACAGATGAAGGAAAGAAGTCAAAGATCTTGAACAGAAGGACTGAGAGAACTGTACCACAGCTTCTTTCTTTGTAGCTCTGTGCTCTTTCTTCCACTGGAAAAGTTTTCTCTCCACATCCTTATTTTCCAAAGTCACCATCTCCCCATCATTTTAGGCTCTGGAAAATGCTCGGTTTTAACACAAGCCTGACCTTTAGAACCACGTGTGGTTTTCTACCACCACAGGGGTTTAGTCTCCATTTTTTCTTAGTATTTTCACTCTACTGATCTCTTAGAAGCACTGGTATGAAACTAAACAGTACCTGATGTATCTGTACTTTACATCAGAACACCCCATGAAACTCATTATTGGAAAGAAGTTATACCCCCTGATTGTCGCTTGCCAGGAACTTCCTAGTTGTTTTGGTGTGTTCCATCAGCTAAAATAGCCAAATGCTACTTCTGCCTTCAAGTGCAGTCAGCATAGAACAAGCCAACTGTAATTTGCAAGTCCTATGAACACAGCTGGGTACCACTCTGTGCTGAGGAGTCCTGCCTGATGTAGGCACTTTGGATGTCTTTAGCCTTTTATTAGATCACCTGTGTCACTTAAAGGCTGGAGGTCATTTATAGTCTTGCTGCACAGCAGAGAGGTCAGTGCTCTGACCCTAACCACACAGAAATGCGTGAAGAGGCCAGGCTTTTCCCATCTTCTTTAGAAGGACGAAGAAGGTATCAATTATCGAACAGGTAACAGGGAACATGAGCTTGAACCGGTGGAGGGGAATGCAGTCAGCTGTGTCTCAGAGCGCGTAATTTTCTGTGGCTTGACTTGCAGTGTTTCAGGAACAGAGCACAAGGGCTGAAGGAGGGCAATGAGCCTAGAATAGTGTGACATGCACAGACATGTGAGCAGGCAACGACTATCTCAATGCATCCTCTTAAGCATTATTATAGTTAAAACCGGGTTTGGTGTATTCACCAGGAAGAAGCATTGCTGAGACTAGCTCTCCTATGCAGGTGATGTTCTTTTACCTTTTGTCTGCTTAAACATATATTCAAAATCAGGAGAATGCCTGTAGGAAGCAGCTGGATGATTCCTGTTGATCAAAATTACAGCACTGATGATTCCTCTTCTCAAACCAGCTCAAATAGCAAGTTTTCTTGAAGGCCAGGGTCAGTGCACTGTGCTTTGGACTTCTGCTGAAACCAAAGCTGATTCCCATTTTCTAGGGAACCAGTGGTAGCCAAAAAGACACTTGAATACTAAGGGAAAAACAGAGGAGGCAGCTCTCTGCTGGGTGTTCTGTGTGCACAGATGCCTCTGGAGGAGGATGTGGGGAGACGGAGAAGGATCATCTGCACACAGCTGGAAGAGTCTTCCCTTCCAGAGATTTACAAGCCCAATTTATGTTTTGCTAGTGCATGGGGAAAATCTTATAGCATCTGCTAGTAACACCCTTGTGTCTGGAAAGCCTGGTAATCAGTGTGTTCTGAAACACTTATTGAGGCTGTAGGGAATCCTTCTTGGGCTGAAATACACTGTATGGAGCTTTCTGAAGTGAACGGTAACTTTGAAGACTAGTGGGTGAAGTGGTTTTCACTTGCTGTTGGGTTAAAAGCTTGCTCCAGTGAGTTTCTGCATTTGTTGGAACCACAGGGCTTGCCCCAGACTTTTTACAACAAAGACAATACCTTCTTGTTTCCTGGTTCTTGCTCTTGGTAGAAGGAATTGAGTGACATACGTCCCTAAGGAAATGATTTTTACACTCCTTCCTTGAATACAGTTTTTTCAGAGAGGAAGAAAACAGGTTAAATGCTGAAAATCTGATTAGTGCAGTGGGACATTATGAAAAATTATACTTACCTATTGGTGAGGAAATGGCTCTTCTCCTCAGTTACTCTATTCTGCCAGGTTCATCAGGCATTGAATTAAGAAAGGTGGTCGCACAGTTCCCAACTTGTTTTCATTAAGGCCTCTAAATCTGGATACTTTAAGTGTCAGTGGATGCTGCTTTTGGCATGTAGGTTTTCTAGATTGTGCTGGAAGTTGTTCAAAATCTACCTTATTCTTGTCCCAAGAGCTGTACTGGTTCATTTAAAAGTGCAAATCACAAGCTCGCACGCCACCTTCACTATGCACATACATTGCACTGCCCATTAGCATATGCATATTACCAGTTGGTAGAGTGTGAGTTTCTTTCAGTAGAGAAAGATGTCTCATTGTAAAAAATATACGTAGATTTATGGACATTTTTACATCTTCAGAGGCTTTTTTAGTGCATTACCTGAATCCTCCCATGAGGCAAACTCAGTCACCGTTCTCTTCAGTTTTGCAGATGGAGGAAAATGTGAAGGGGTTGCAGTGCCTGCAGGTACAACAGAAAGCCTGTGGAGTTGTCAGGGTTAGCTCCTGATTAGTGAGCTGTTGTGAGACATCATCTGGACACTATCACTGCATCCCATGCCAGCAGCTGGGTCATCTACCCCTCCTAGAAGATGCTGAGCTTTTTGATTTCTGGTTTGTCTTTGCTTTCATGGGTAGCTCAGTGCTTGGGTTTGTTTTGGGTTTTTTTCAGATGGTGAAGACAACAAAGTAGGGCAGAGTTTGGGCCTTTCATGTTTGAAATTTTGTGTAGGGAGGATGGCGATAAAAAGACAGCTGTATTATATCAGTGTTTGGAAGCAAGGGCAAGCATACTTCCTTCTTCACAACAGTGACCAGGTGAACTTGGCAATTATGCTGGGTTTTAGCCCTCATTTCATATCCTAAGTAGAAGTAGATTAGAGCCTCCATCTGCCTGGATGACTGTAGACTTTCTCCATCTGTCAGTGGGTGGCCACTTGTGGACGTGGGAATGGCCAGATGTGGGCCCAAGCCAAAGCTGCCATCTCCATGCTTCTCTGCCGGCAAGGGCGATGTGCAGCTGGCTGACAGCTGGGGCAGGGGCCAGGGGGGCTGCACGTCTGTGGCCATGGATCATTACAGCTTGTAAGGAGATGCACCAAGGGTAATGCACTTTCAAACTCTGCCCTAGCAGATGGTGTGTGAGTCCAAGGAAAGCAAAATGTCCATGCATTGACCTGCGTAGAGCTGGCTGACGTGCATGCTGCCGTGCCAGCAACCGTGGCAGCCCCCGTAAGAACCAGGCGGTTTGTGTCCCATCCAAATGTAGGTGCATTGTACTAGCTTGGCTTAAAGCTATTCCATTCTGAGTAGAGCCTGTTTGCCTGGTCTTTGAGGTTTTCAAAGGCTGTTATCCACTGAGCTAAGCCTGGATATATGTCCCAGTCTCTCACGCACAGAGAATATTTTTGGCAGATTCAGGCCTAATGACTTTCACATTTAATGTCTTGAACCAGTCGGTTTGCTCTGCCAGCAATCGAGCCTGTTTATCGTGTTGTTTTGGATAGACCATCTTCATGGATGTGTTCGTTCATCACCTTGCACAGTGGAGTCCTGACATTAAGACAGGTTGCTATGCACAGGAAGCCATTTGTAGTGGCAAGTACTGCTGGTTCAGCCTCTGTTACCGGTCTTCCCTTCAGCTGAGTGTTCCTAGGGAAGTCACAAAAAAATTATTCCCATTTATAGTAGTATCCCCCATGCTCCTTTGTATCTTATTCCAATGATAAACTCAGAGACAGGGTTTCAGAGACACCTGCCAGTGTGATGTCCTGATCCCCACATGGGTCTTTGAGCAGTGGTGCTGCCATACATCAGAGGAGAGCACGATGCCAGCACCACTCAGCAGGGCTTTCTGACAATGCAGTCTGTTCACATACGTTAAGGGTAGCAGGTGATAGCCATCTGAGAGTGAGAAGTCTCAAATCTAATAAATGATTGCTTATCCAAAATGCCAGCTCAGTGATATTCTCCAGGTCTCAGTCAGTAAACTGCTTGCCTCGACACGTGGCTGAAGACACCTCAGTACAGCACCTGAGCCCTAAAGCAGGTAGGAAAGAGGGTGTGATTCTTGTTCCTGTGGGGTTTTTTTTCATCCTTTCCATGCTAATGTGGTCTGTGATTCTGGCTGACCTGTTTATTATAATACTCTTTTAGTCCTTTGGAAGTCTTCTCAGCATTTCCTTATGACATTCCAGGGTGACACCTGTTCATGCTACCAGTTCTTCCTCTGCCACGCAGATTCAGCTCTCTTGGTTATGTTTTGTTGCTTCTCCAACTCCACTTCTCCCTTCCTATCAGCCTCCCTTCCTTGCAATATCCCTTACCTCAGCTTTTTTTTTATACCACAGCAAATGTGCTTTAGTGAAGCTCTATTTCAATACTAAACAAGATTGTAACTACATCTCTTGACAGATGCGAGCAAGACTGGGATTGTAAAGTTACTTTTGGGAACCCTGAGAGTGCGTTCAGCTGTGGAAAGGTT